TAAGAGGAGGGGAAAAAAGAGACACATAAGTCAAGCTTTGCCAGGTCCCCACCAGCCAACTTCACCTATAGTCACTTAAGGTTTAACCTTTTCGAGTTTAATTCACTTTTCTTTACTCTCTCAAGGCCTTGAACTCTGAAAAACTACAATACTGCTCTCTGGCTATGAGGCAGTCATTTTGACTCCTCAAAGCCTCTTCTAACTGTGACTCTCCCATTTTTTCTAATTAGGGTTCTATGCTTGTTTTTTTAATTAGCATTCTGTGTTCTTTATCAAATGTTTATTTTGTTTTCCTCAGTGAAATGTGAATGTACCAAGTAATTTTAAAGTTTATTTAAACATTTTTTTCCTCCCCTCTCTAAGTGGTAGTTCATTTTAAGAAAAGCCTTCAAGAAGTCTAGAAAGCACTTTGAAATTAGTTGAATTCCTCTATTTTCTACTTTGGTAATTTTTATTTCAGTAAAATATGAAGGTTATTAGAACTGTAAACCTGTTGGATATTTTTGATAAATTAATATTGATTTAAAAATACTGTTACACCTCATAAATTTAAGTGTGTATTATGAGAATGTGAAAAAATGTTGGATATTTGTTAAGTAAAAGTGAGAGGTTTTTTGTGTGTGATTTTCTTTCCCTGTTTATACCTTCACTTAACAGTATGACTTCTTTCCTATAATTTTGTATACCTCCCTTTAATTTTTTAATGAAATATTTATTTCATGAAAATATTTTTCATATTTGCAAATTAGCTTTGAGAGTCAGGCTCTGATGGCAGTTTCAATGCTTGAGAGACCGTGCTATGATTAAGGGCAGTGGAAAGGAGCTGGGTGAGCCACGCTCTCTAAAGGATGGCTTGGTACTGGCCAGAGGCTCCAGTAACCCAAACGAGTTTTTCAAGAGGAAGCTTTCTTGCCAGCCTCAGGGGAACCTTGATTCAGTCCCCAGATAACATAAGATAGTCAAAGGTAGGGTTTGGTTCTCTATGAAGTGGAACAAGCACCTTGATATTCTTGTGAGGCTGGCGCCACTCTGCAGAACTCCAGCCTTGGGGAACTCTGGCACTGGCTTAAACCTCTTAGAGACTAAAAACCTACTACAGATCTTGGAATGCAGAGACAAGTCCAGAAAGAGGCTTCTTCACTGCCCCCCATACCTCCATTGGTTCTACTTGGCCACTAGTAGAGACATATACTCCTTTTTATTCATCATTCTAAAGGAAAGCTTCTGTGTGTTCATGAAGCCAATTTTATATGTTTCAATGGACTGGGGGCTTCTTGTACCCTTCCCATGTGTAGTTGTTCTCCTCTCTATTAAGCAGCCTCTGAGAATATGGGTGTGCAAATCAATCCCAATTGCCTGTAATGCTAAATCTTGAACAGGTTATAGCTCTTGGTGCTAGAGAAAATAGCACTGAATAATTGGGGATGTATGTGTTCTTCTATTTCCTTTTCTCTGATTATAAAAGTGGTCTGTACTCATTTTTAATGTTTGTAAAATGTAGAAGAGAATAAAATCCCTTGTAATCTTTCTTTCTTTAACAGCCTCAGTTAACATTATGAAACGATTGATTACTGTCATGTGTTTTACTGTTCTTGTATTTTACATAGTTGAAGATAAATACAAATTTAAATTTAAAAATATTCACACTTTCTTATGCTATTAACATTTTTCATATATGTAAAAAATTGACTCTACAGGAACAATCATATTTTAAAGGAAATATTGAATCACAAAATTACAGGAGATCTGCTTAATATATTTATTGATTTTCTAAAATAATACGAGCAAAAATTCCTGTGCTGTGGCTAATACACTAGTAATTAGTCATATCAGCCTTCTTTAAGTGAATCACTTAAATATTTGCCTATAAATTTCAATACCAACCCACTAACTTACAACTGAATGGTAGCTGAATTTTTTTCTAATGTTTTGTCCTGGATATAAAACAGTGTTTCTTTACATTTGTTTGGTCACTCACCCTCTGAGAATTCAGTAAAAGATACCCACCTTCTTCACAGGGAATCGAGTATTCCCACAAAAATCTAATTATAATGATAATCAATTATGTTATGCCAGGCACTCTGCCAGTTGCTTTACATGTTATTTCATTTAACCCGCACAGCAGCAGTATAAAGAATACACTGCCACCCTCATTTTTGAGATAAAGATATTGAACCTTTTAGGAGATTAAGTAGTTTGCACATAGCCATAGAGCTAGTAAGTGGAACTCAAACTCTAATTTTTAAAACCCCAGAGCCCATCCCCTCAATCATTGTGCACCTAATTTTAGGAAGCTCATATATTCCTAAAGCCTACTTATTGATACTCATGTTAAGGACACCTTACTATTGCAATCCAAAGAGTTTCATTGGCAGTAAAGAATATGTGTAATTAATTGATCTTGTTATTTCTGTAAAGTAAAGTATAGATATTTGTTGGACATCTACTATTTTGAACACTTTGCTATGTTCTGTGATATGGTCCTTACCCCTAAGAATTTTACTGTCTACCCGAGAGGATAAAAAATACATTCATAAAATAATGAGAAAATTTAAATGTGAAGTTGAATATATAGTATTTAATATTTCTATAAGCTATGCAATAAAATTAATCTCTTCACTTTGTTGCACCTGATGCAGTTGTCGTTCTCTGATTTATAAAATTAAAATCAGATCTAAAAGGCCACTGTGTCCTCTGGGAACCTGGAAAATTCAGAGTGTCATAAAATGAGATCTATAAAGTGTGAATGACTAAATATGTATCAGATCCAGATACCTGAGTGGTTTTATCAGCATCATGTCAGCCCTAGGGAGCATGCCCAATAACGAGATTCAAGAATGTGTGGCCAGTTCTCAAGCATTCAACCCATGTATCACAGGGCAGTCCTGTTGAACTGAACATGTGTGGTTCAGCAGAACACCTTGACAGCTGCTGCATCTTGGCTTGTGGGGTTCCTACTGACAGAAGAGACTCCAGTACTTCAAATGATGCAGCATAAGGCATATGTCATATGGGAGCAACAGTGATAATCTGCCAACCTTGGATGAAGTCGTCAGACATAGGAAGCTTATTTAAGCTGACTGTCTGACCATCAAGGTTGTCAAAAAGAGTGACTGTGGCTCTGACTCAAAGAGCTGCTTTCTATAGGAGCATAATATGAGGAAGTTATACGTGTGATTGAGCAGCTGTTGTATACAAGGGTATCACAGATAATTGCTATTGTAAGATATGAAGGATGGACTATTTAAGCTTTTATTAACATGGCTTTCATGATGTATTTGTACAGTTTTGGAACTTTACCCTTTTAAAACTTTAATTATTTGGGCTAAACATAAGATGGAATTAATTTATAAATGGGTATAAATTTTCTTTCCAAAGTAAATAGAAACTTAGGGTGCTATCATTCTATATAGTTTATCCCCTTCCATTTGAGTTATTTTTTAAAAAATCTCTAAAATAAGACTATTTTGTGAAAACTCCAGGATAAGAAGGTTTTTTTGTTATTTAACATTTGTACTCTATATAATTAGTTTAATAAATTGGTTTAAGTTTTATTTCATGTAATGTTTTTATATTCCCTTCAACTTAACTTGTTAACATTATTTCTTAAAGTAGGGCAAGGAATTTATGAAAACCCATTAGACATTTCCTAGGTGGAAAATATTTTTAAAGAACAGGAATACCTATTATTGTTCATAAATCATCACTTGAAGCTATCCAGTTACTAGTTGTTTGGAGGAATTTTCCAGACATATATGCAAATATCTTGCTAGATTTTATTTAATTTCAAAAGAAAATATGATGCCAACTTCCTGTAATTTCTTAAATTCATTCCTGGAGAAAAATAAAATCAAAAGGAAAACATCCCTTTTCATATTTGTTTTGAGCAGATATTTGAATTGTTTTTGAGGCAGATAGTAGATTGATGTTAAATGTTTGTCTTGCTTTGTTTGACTTCACAGAGAGAATTCAAGGGATAGTAACTGTACAGCTTTTGAATTTTCTCTGTGTTTTGTCTGTATATAGGGGCTTAAACAAGACCTTTTGATTTTGTAATAAGCAGGGCTTAGGGACAATAAAACTTGACATTCTTAACTGTTAACTAGTATATTTCCCTATAGTCCTGTGCAGTTACCTTCTTCTTAATGATGTAGAAGCCAGAGTCATAAACTAAGCATGGACCCAAGGCGCTACTGTAAATTGCAAATAGCATTCATGTGTCTCTTTGACCTAAGACTCAATTGGAGTAGAGGAAGAGAAAAATAATTTTTGAGAGTGGAATAGAAGTAAAAGTCAAGAGCAAAGAATACCCTAGGAGGATGGACATATACAAATACTCCCTGAGTTTTTGCAGTGATATTTGTCTAGATGGGTCTTCTCATATCTGCAATACTCTTTTACTGAAGAGCCAAGCACTGGATTGGCAGCCTCTGCTGCCGGTGTGTGTGTTTGTGTGTCTGTGTGTGGGTTGGCAATAATGCACTCATGAGATAATGCAAATAATCAGTGAGGGAATAATTAATGATGTGGCAGGGAATATTTTTTGATAAATGCTTGGGGAATGAGGTGACAGGCGTGAAATTAGAAAATTCCTTCAGCGATCTAAAATATAAATAGCTTTCGGAACTGAAAAGAGTTTCACAGCTGAAGATTTTATTGTGTTGAGAGGAAAAACTTTTCTCTCTCCCCCACTCCCTCCTCCTTTGCAAGTTGTTTGTCCATTCACAAAACAAATACTCTGAAGCCCAGCACAGCTCATGGGAATAAATTTCAGGTCGAATTAGTACAGTTTCCTTGCTGTCAGGATGCTGGAATTAATGGTGTTTTGATGACACGAATTTTGAAGGGCAGACAAAGAAGCTGAAGGGAGAGAGACATGACTCCTTAGAAGCTCGGTCCTCCTCTCCCCCAGCCTCTCTTGTCTTCCCTGTCATCCGTCTGCCAATCTCCCTGTCCATGGTTAGTTAAAGGCGCTTTTTATCCTCTTTTCTTTCCCACAGAGTTTGCCAGATCCGGCCCGGTGCCTGGGTTCCAGGAGGACACGCTGCAGTTGGCCTTCATCGACTTGAGACAAGTAAGTCTTTGTGTTTTTGTTTTTTGTTTTTCTTTTAAGATGTGTGACTGAAGACCATCAGGTCTTAAGGAAAAGGAGAGGGGAGGGGCGTTGGCATTGGCGATTCACACTGGAGACCTAAGGGCTTTTCCCTGTGTTTGAGGCCACCTCTTTTATTTAGCTATCTGGGATCCTTAGCTATGGTGGAGTTAAAGGTTTTGTGGATGGAAGGAAAGGGAGGAGGTGGAAGGAGGGCCCCAGAATATAGCAGGACTCAAGTGACCCTCAAGTGATGTGACCCATTGTGCTGTAGTTGGCTTTTGCAGACACAGCAGAAAAGATAACTCGGCATCGGCAAACTGATGCTAAGCAGGTGCACCGATGCAGAGACTGCCTGCTTAGAGAACCTTTGTTTGCAGTTAATGAGGGCAGTAACAGTTAATGAAAATGAAATATTTTACATTCTGGATTGTTGGTTTGGTTTGTTGACTTTTTTTTCTGTTCCCTTAAGTCTTCTCATCCCCACCTTCGTAGAATGTGGTCAGCCTTGAGTGACTGAGGGGTCATTTGAGATGATTACTAAAGGCCCTGACCAGTCATGATAACCTGACAGGTAACCCTACTAAAGTAGTGTGATGAAAGCTGGTACTTAGGTATACCTGAGGTTTGCAAGCCCATCAGACAGAGTCATTCTATAGAGCTGTTGCTTGCAGATTGAAAAGGGCGGGTTGGTGGGTCTTGGTGGATTTGGTACAGAGGAGCAGTAGGGGTGGGGGCCGAAAAAGGGAGAGAGTTAACTGGGCTCTGTCATCTCTTCACTCTGAAGATGGATGGGGTTGGATAGAAAGTGTGAATGAAGTAAGAATCAATGACTGATGCTTCTCTCCTATTAAAACAATCTTTTTTTTTTGTCTGTTTTTAAAAGGGTGCTGGCTTTGTTTCTCCTGCCATAATGATGCAGTGCCTCTTGTTTTCAGAGCTGACAAAGTTTGCATTCTGAAAACTTGTAGATGCCCAGGGTATTTCTTAAAGCTGTAGGACCCCTTGTATTGGTAGTCTCCTTACCACTGTGACTCGATTCATGCTAGAACAGCTTTTAACCCATAATGGATGGCCTGAGCTACCCCTGAATCCTTGTGGATGGGTGGTGTAATCTGTCATCTGATGACAATTCTGGAAAGCCCTGTTAAGCAGAAAATAGAAAATTGTGTCTCTATAGACCCACCAAAGTTTGAGGATTCAGGCCGTGTCCCAGAAACGTGTGTCAACTTAATATTTAGGAGTTGAGGTGGAGGAACATAAAGGCTTTCTCAGCATGGTCCCAAATGGAGCTGAGTATCTCTTTCCACCCTTTAGATCTTCCACCTGTGGATTCAGCAAGTCAACTGAGGTGTTCAGGTTTTAACCCTTTGACTTGATGTTAAGGCTGAAAAATTGGGATTTTGCTTTGGAGTTTTGTGGTATGGTATCTGTTTGAATATCCCCTCACTGTTTCTTCTCAGAGACTTCTGAGCCAGTTGGTTTTTCTTGGAAAGCAGAAATTGAATTTCATTGGAAAAACACATCCAAGGAAAAATTTTCTCTTCTCACTGTTCATGAAAAGGAAGTGTGGCCATTCTCTCAAGTTTGTGGTTTTGGTCCCTATGGAAAGTAACTAGTGTTCACAGAAAATGTTAACTAAAGGAGTAAGTTAGAAAGCACAGCCAAAATAAGGTGGATCTGAGCCGGGATGAGTGCTGAAATACTTGTGAGTTCTCAGTGAACACTGTTGTTTATGCTTAAGTTCCTCTTTTCTATTACATTTTTGTTCTCAGAGTTCTTTGCATGAAATTTTTAGTAGTAGAAAAAACTCTAAAACTCACTGAATCAGGAAAGAGTATGCCTCTTCCTATTGAATCTATCACTTAATTTCTATTTGTGTCTGTCTCTATTAAGGCAGCTTAAATTCTTAGATCATATGAAAAACTTCCCTAGCTCATTACTAGCAGGCCTCAGGTAGGTTAAATCAGGGTGACAAAAATGATCTTTCCCCATCCCATGCTGAAAATGCATCTCTTTGTAGTCCATCTTAGTCATTCTCATAAATTAATTAAAGTGAGCATTGTTTTTAAAGGGAGCAGCTTATGAAGTATAAGAGATGTTCAGATTATAAATAGAAAGCCTGGAAGTATGTTTTCAAATAAGACATGATTAGGTGTCCTTTAATATATGTCCTTTTGCCTGTACTCTTTGGAATCCTAAAATAGAGTTACAGAAATTGGGGGCTACGCTGGGTGCTGATCTTAAAAATCATGTAAATGTATCCTGATTTATGGAGCTTCCATCTGCTAGAAACTGAATCTTTTTCATACATGACATTGTTACCCATTCTATATCTAGTTCTTATGTGGTTGATTTTATATACCACAGCTGAAGGTTTCGCTCTCTTTGGACTGTGTTTTCCTTTTAAGACATTTTATTAATAAACCAGATTTTAATCATTAAATCATTATTTAATAATTAGTCATTTAATTATTTATTTAGCCTGTCTAAACCTTTAATGTCTTGGCTCAGTTATCCACCTTACAGCTTGATTTAACCATTATGTTCCTTATAAGTCAAAGATAACAGTATTGATCAGAAATGGCTGAAGTTAAAGGAAGAAGTTAAAGTTAAAGCACGTTATAGGATACATGTATGCACCCATGGAAAAGGGCGATTTGTGCCCATTCAGTGCAGCAAGGATGTTCTTTTACTGTCATTGAGTTTATTTTGCTCACTGGTTTATGAATATATTCATGCTGATCATGCTTTTCATGTCCTTTTGCTTTAGAGTGTTTCACACTATCAACTGAATGATAATTTTGAAAATATTCAAAACATAAAATATTTGATGAAGTCATCTCTGTACACACTATAATAGTCGAGTGTCATTTGAAAGCCATAGAATTTTATTAGGAAGCAAATTAGATGTGGATAGCAAAACTATTTATCCTTTCTGAGCCATTCTGTCTACTCTGATTTTTCTACTTCTTAAGGAAAAAAGTGAAATGACATTCTGAATACACAGGATTTCATGATCTTTTACATTTGTAAAGCACTTCAGAATTAAAGCATATTTACATATATGTGTCATTTGTCAGGTTTCTGGGTTTAGAAAACCACCTGTTAGTGGGAATTAGTACAAATCAAAATCTTCTCCTTTTACACTTTATATTTTCTGTATTCCCAAGCTCATGAAAGTAGGATTGCAGTACAATTTCACATCCATGTATCAAATGTGTGGTATTTCTATTAAAATCCAAAATTTGGATTAATCCTAAATATTGAGAAGGTCAGCTTAAGGGCTCACTTATTAACTGTCTTGAAGTAGCATTTATATTCTAGGTAATAAAAGTTGCTGTCCCTTAATGGTTCATAATTGAGAGTAGCAACACAAGGCCACTAGCAGATCCTCAGTAGTTATCTGATTCTCAGACAGTACTATGGTTGGTATTTTCTTCTATTGTTAAACTTTAAGTAAATAATGCCGAAGAACACCAGAATTTGAACTTTAGTTGATTTTCATTTCAGTCTATCAAACTCTGAGTGCCTACTATGAACAAATTACAACTTAGGTGTTGTGGGAATACATAGTGGATATAATACACTCTAATGGCAAAGAGGTGAACAGCAAATACTTGATTCTAATATAAGGCACACTATGAGTAAGTATTTCATTGGAAGGCTAAAACCATTGTGTATGTTTCAGTTATTTCAACAGCTTATGCTGCATGACAGATCACCCCACAACATATTGGCTTAAAACAGGAATCATTTATTTAGCTCAAGTTTCTACTGACTAGATAGGTTCAGCTGAGCTCATCAGACTTTGAGATGAGCTACTAGAGTGGCTGCAGACTGCCTGATCCAGGATGACTTAGCTAAGCTGACTCTTCTCTGCTCCTTGTGATTTCTCTCTAACCAACAGCCCAAGCCAGGCTTCTCCACATGGCATCCTGGCAGGCTTCCGGGAAAGCAAGAGGAAACGTGAAAACCTCTTGAGGTCTACACTTGAAATATCACTTCTTCAGCATTCTGTTGGCTAGAGCTGGTCACAGACAGGGCCAGCCCAAATTCAAGGAATAGGGAAATTGATTCCAACTTACAGTCTAGTTGGAATATGACTTTTATATAATGATGCAAAATAAACAATGCAAGTCAGGAGCAAGATTGAATCTCTAAGTACAAAAAAAGACCATGAAGTAGAGAGGTCTTTGTAGGCCTGAGCAGTATAAAATTTTTCATGGAAAAAGTGGAGAGTTAAACAGAGAGGAGAGTTAAATCGAGAATAGCTGGATTTAAGTATTTTTTCGAAAATCTGTGTGCATGTTTGTGTGCATGTGTATGTATGCATCTGTGTGTTTGTTGTTAAGCAGGATCTAACTGTCTTTCTGCCTTTCAGTATTAAGCTCATCTCTTTAAATACCATTTTCTTAATTCCTCTTCTTTATTCTTTGCTTTTACTTTTCAGCTTCTTCTTGGACCTCTTTTTTTATGTTCCATAACTCCTCATCAAATGCTGTTTATTACAAGTTACCTTGAAACATTTCACATTTCTGTTATTCCATTCATTATGAGAGTCTTAATTTCCCCTGATAATTATTACATTATTTATTTAATTTTTAGCTGTTCACCTTCCATGTCTGACCAGTAGGGAAAGGCTTGAATGTGTTCTTTAGCAATGTCACATTATTTTCTGTTCTTTGGCATCAACAGTTATTTACTTCCAATATACTTAAGTTTTATAAAGCTGAATGAATTAGGTTGTGACATTGCATCAGATCTCCTGAATGGAGCTTGTCGGCAACGATTCTTAAACAGCAATGCCATCCCAAGATATCTGTGGCTTTTTTTAGATTGAGTTGGTGACATTCCCTCTAGGCCAGTTATTCTCCAATTTCTGAACCTTCTGTCTAAAGTAAACACAGTGCATTTCCATTGCAGGCACTTAACATGCCTTAAAAACAACTATAGGACCTAAGAGAAATAATTCTAAATTT